TGTTTCTGCTCTTTTTTAAAACTCAGAAGTAGTTAGCTTTTTTTAGTTGTTTTAGGTGCCATTTAGTCAACTACAACTCTATGTTGTGAGTCTATGAACAGCAGATCTGAACTTTGCCCTTTCCTGTGCCATTCTCAACATCTCTGATATACTCAAGCCCATTATTAGAGTTACTGTGTTAATTCATCTTGTTAAAAGTCACCTTCTCTTTCTCTGGCCTTCCCTCTTTCCCAGCATAATATCTTAGTATCTAACCTACACCGATAAGACCTTTTTAATATAACTAAAAGAAAACCCTGTTTTCAAATAGGATCAGACCCATGGGTACAAGGACCAGAAATTCAACACATATAGTAAGGGACACACAACTACTACAAAAATAATAGGTAGCAAGTCATTTTATGTGTTGAGTGTTAAGACTGAATGTTAAACAGAATGTTTGTGTGGCGTGTGTTAAGATGTGCATATTGAATGTTAACCAGAAAGTCCAAACTGAGACCTGACGGGTGAGACAGACTCGATTAAGCAAAGAAAAAAGTTAAGAACAGCATGTTAAATGCCATTGCCAGGAATTTAGATGTTCTCCTAAGTGTGATGTGAAACCATTAGAAGCCTTTGCTCTGAAGAAGGACCTCATATGGGAATGGGTGAGAAGTGATAAGAGGTGGGCAGGGACGTACCAGACGTCCAGGCAGGAGTACAAGGTATATTAGACCAGGGTCCACTTGTTAATTGCCACCTCTTCCAGAAAAAGGACTAGTTACATCTCGGAGTATATTTGAGTACTGTTTTATCCTACAGGCTCAAAGCAGGCCTCTCTCAAGAAGTAAGTCTCCCTTCCTGTCAGGCTAGAAAATAGAAATTGTTAGCAAGGACATGTTCAGCTACAAAATTACACAGTAAGCATATGGCAAGTTGGGCATAACCCTTCATTTTGGGAAGCCACATATACTAGTCTTGTGGAGCCTGGTAAAGAGGACAGAATTTTTGCTGTAAGTTTATCCCTCTGCTGGTCCTGGCTCTGCCCTGTGCTGGCTGTATCCCATCAGCTGAGCTGTAGAATGATCCTGACCCTTCAGGATTCCAGAAACTGGTGTGATGTGCTGTTCTGCCTAGAAATCCGTCAGGTGGTTTTCCCTGAAGCCTGGTTTACTTTTATTTTGTAGAGGTCACTAAAATTATCTTTAGGGCAGTTGCCAATTTGTTTTGATGGTATTTCTTCATTCATATATTTCTTATTTATTATGAACTAAATGGAGGGGGTTGTTACTCCAGGAGCCTACGACACACTGAATCCTTCCCTCCCACAGAATTCCATTTCAGAAACTATTAGTACTTGGTAGCATTTTTTAATCAATCTGTGTTTTTGTGTTCTGCTTTTACTCCTTTCCACACTTTTTAGGAAGTTCTAATAACAGGAATCATTGAATGAGTGTTTCTTAGGGAACTCTGGTGGTAAAGGAGTTGCGCTGCCAGTGCAAAGGTGTGTGGTTCAAATCCACCAACTGTTCCCCAGGTGGAAGATGAGCAGTCTCCTCCTGTGCAGTTGGCTGCCTCTGAAAACCCAGTGGAGGGTCATCTAAGAGTTGATACCCACTTGGTAGCCCACAGCAACAACAACAATCCTGTATGTCAGGCATTGTTCTGAGTGTTTTTCATTCATCAACTCCTGATAACTGGCCTTGTAGAGTAAGTATAATTAGTATTAGTCCAGTTTCCAGATGAGCAAACTGAGTCCATGTCCACACACATATGACACGCACCGACATAGTCTGTATACCTGTCCTGTTATCTCATTCTTCTGTGTGATAGAAACTCCGACCCCACAAAGATGTATGGGTTATTTTCTTTTCTTTGTTTTGCAAAGTTTTTGTAAACGACTCTTCTGAAGTATTCGAGAGGGTAGAATTTCCTTGGAATATATTCCCCAAAGGAAGATGTTAAAAGGGATGAACAGTTTATTAACTCACACTTGCTGTCAGGTTCTCTTCAGAGACAGCCAATTTATGTTGCCACCAGCACGCCCACCTCTGCTGAGCCTGGTCTTTCTCAGTGTAAGGTATAGTCCATGGTACTGTCCACAGGCTCGAGCTGCCGTAGCAGCCTTTATCGTGCTCAAAATATGCTCTTTCTTCCAGAGTTTAAAATAAAAGAAGTAGAGTCCTTGTTGTGTAGACAAGTAAGAGGGATCGCAAAGAAGGAATTCATGTGGCAGCAGATGAGTGGAAAAGGGAACCCAGACTCCCTGGTTACTTGAGGAATGTGGGGCTGAGAGAAGGGAAGGAACCTCTCATTTCTAATGCTTGCCATGTGTTCTGTGCTGTGCATCATGTCATCAAATACACACAACCCTGGACGGAAGATGTTACTATCTATACTTTATATGGCAGGAGACAGAAACTCAGGGATTTTAGGCTTCTCCTCCAAAACCACACAGCTTGTGAGAGTCCAAACCAGTCTGACCACCTCAGACCCATGTTCTGTGGCTCACAGCAGGACAGAGGGAGCCCCCAGATTATAAACAAGTCCTGTTCCTGAGTCTATTTTTAAATTAAATTTTTACACCAAGTTGGAACAGTTAGGAAGGGTTCATAGTCAGTAGCAATCAATGGTTTGTCTTAGTGTATAATATGTAATGTACTTTTCTGTGCTTTAAATAGTACATAGATACACCCAGATACACTGTTGTTGTCATATACTGTGGAGTCAGAACCAACTCACACTGACCTTCAGGTAATTTTTCAGAAGCTGTAAATCACACAGGAGGAGATTGCCCATCTTTCTCCCATGGAGCAACCGGTAGATTCGAAACATGCATGGCTTTGGGTTGTCAGTCCAACTCCTTACCACAAAGACACCTAGAACGTCTTTAACACAATAATACAGAAATACTAATAATGATGAGAGTTGCAGAGCAGGACCATTTGTTATTGTGAATCACTATAGCTTGAATTATTCATAGAGTCGGCTTTGCCATATGGGTTGTTTATAAAGTCAGAGGTTTATAAAATTTTTCATAATGAAGGCAGTGAGTATACATTAAAATGACTAGTAATCTCTATTGTGATGAGATTAAGATTTTGACTTCCTGACATTCTCTGGTACTTTGCTATCTTTTCCTCATAGGAACCCCCCAAGTTTCAGGCGGGAAGACACTCACTGCCCTGGAGTCCACAGTGCCGCCTGGCCAGTCCCTGCCCGGGGGCTCCGCCGCTGTCCACATGAGCCTGCTCGACATGAGGCGAAGCGTGGCCGAGCTCAGGGTGCAGCTCCAGCAGATGCGACAGCTCCAGGTCAGGGGGTGTTCCTCACAGGGGGTTGCCTCTCCCTCAGTTCCCCAGTCAGCTCTCTCTCTCCTTCCCTTTCTCGTTCCTCTCCCCCAACATCCCCAGCTCCACTGCACTTTCTCTCTGGGCTCTCTACCTCCTCCTCATCCTCACCTAGAGCTTTCCACTGACGCTACAACTAGTATTCACTCCTGTGAGCTGCACTTGTCTTTCTTTACACATGAAAAAAACCTGGGTAATAATTAACGTTAAATTAATAGTAAAATATCTGGAGTTTTTTTGAGGAGAGCTGAACATAACAACTCTGTGAAATATTCTAGCAGCTGGTTAAGACTTCCTCCAAACGGAGTTCAGACTCTGTTTTTCCTTCCCAGAGTGCCACTGTCAGCCATGCTTTTTTTCACAGACTAGGAATTTATTTTGACATAAACAGAAGAAGAATTCCTAAGGAAAAAGCCAGCATGAATTCTTTGCTGCATTGTGTTTTGGATAATGTATTCCGTAATGAGCTGTGGTGGAATCAAAGAGGCAGGAAAATGGCCCTTCATGTCGCCAATCTTGGTCAATAAATCCCATCAACTTGATGACGTTCAATAGTCTGTCTCCTGGTACTGGTTGAGAAGGAGCTTGGACCATAGCTATCAGTGAGCTCGCATTGGCTTCCTCTGCCAACATCATGCCTCCCTCCCCTTGAGAGCAGTTGGGCATTGAGGATGTAGTGGAGGCTTAGACTAAACCCACCATCTCCCTGACTTTAAGTCCTCTGTAATTGAAACTCTGCTGAAAGACAGATTCACTCAGTACTCAGGCATGCACTCCTAGGCAGTCAATGAAAGGTAACTGAACTTCAGTCAGGAAAGGGCTTCAAACATGCAGCTTCTCTCTTCAGTCAACACCCTTTGGCATGAATCACTAATTTTTCCACCAGGCTTAGCCTCATGACTAGGGAGTTGCGTTGCCAACTCAAAGGCAGGCAGTTCAAATCCATCAGCTTCTAGACTTTGACAGGCTAGAAAGGAAGGACTGGTGGTCTACATCTAGGATTCAAACTGTGAAAAAACCCTGTGGATCACAATTATCTTATGAACAACTAAACATTTATGCAATAGTACAGGCCTAGGCATTTCTTTCTGTTAGGTAAGTTGTCAGTGACTTCATTTGCCTTGGATCCATGGTAGTAGCAATCAAGAAATCCAAAGACATCTTGCTTTGGGAAAATATGCTGTCTAGGATCTCTCCAAAGGGCAGAAGAGCAAAGATGTCAGTTTAAAGTCTAAGGAGTGCCTGATCCAAGCCATGGTCTATTTAATTGCTTCCTATGGATCTGAAAGTTGGGTAATGAATAAGGATGATAAAAGTAGAACCAATGCCTTTGAATTTTGGTGCTGAGAAAGAGTACTGAATATCCCACGAACTGCCAAAAGAACAAACAAACCTGCTTTAGAGGAAGTGCAACCAGGATGCTCCTTAGAAGCAAGGATGGTGAAAATTGGCCTCACATACTTTAAGCATGGTGTCAGGAGGGACCAGTCCTTAGAAAAAGACATCATGCTTGCATAAGCAGAGGGTGAGAAAGAGAAAGACCTTCAACAAGATGGAATGGCACAGTGACTGAAGCAATGTGCTGGAGAATATCGGAGATGACAAGGATGGTGCCAGATTGGGCAAGGCTCAGACATGTTGGTTATAGGGTCACTATGAGGATAGTTGCATCAGTGGAATCTAACAATACCAATGGGGCTTCCCACAGCAACAACAGTTAAATGTAAGAAAACTATTTCCCTTTGCCCTCTCATTCACTGGTAGCATACAGAAGGGTAGCAGATTTAAGAAAGGATCTGAAGCCCCATCAGAGATCAGGGGATGGATGTAAAGGAATGATGATGACCAGTACTCAGATTTCCCAAGGCAGCTCAGTTTCAAAGGTAACACATTACTTTTGACTTCGAATGCAAATTCATTTAAATACTTTTCTGAATCATGTTGTCTGTGAAGTTCCCCATCTTTTTGCATTAACTTCTCCTTGCTTTGCAATTTTAAAGACACCTTACAAAGAAATAAAGGCTGGGAGGAGCATGTGGGCAGGGATGAACATGTTCCAAGGTCCAACAGCAACTTAACAAGGGAGGTAGGACAGTCACCACTGGGCTCCAGCCAGCTCCTATCTGACAGCTAGAATTCTGCGTTTCTAGATATTTCACTCAGTATTTCAAGAGAATATGGAACTACTTTTTTTTTTATAGTAAGTAGCTTTAATTTTAAATATTGGGAAGTAAATTTAAAAAACAATCTACTTGGTGGTACAGGCGAAAAGGTCTGCCAGCCTGAGAGCTTCCTCGTGGAGGGTCCGCCCACCTCTCGCTGCTCCTTCCTTGTAGTGCCACCTGCTGGCCACATGGAAATTGTACATCTTCACCACCAGGTGGAAATTTTACATCTTCACCAAACCCTCCCAGGGAATATAAAAAGACCATTTGAATTCGATTTCAGGGTTGCAGGTAATAAAGCACAACAACAGGCATGTAATTTAGTCACATCTCTGGACGTCAGAAGTGTGACTTCACAGTGTTAGTAGGGCCATGTTCTCTCTTAAGGCTGTAGGGGAAGATCATTCCTGGCCTCTTGGAGCTTCTAATGTTCCCACAGTCCTTGATGTGTGGTAACTTGTAACTGCTTCACTTTTCTCTCTGTCTCCATCTTTGCATGCCTGTGTTCCTTGTGTGTCTCTGTTCCTGTTTTTACAAGAACACTGTTACTGTCACATTAGGGCCCACCCTACTCCAGTATGACTTCATCTTAACTGAGAACCTCTTCAAAGACTACAGACACATTCCAGTCACAGGAATGAGGGACCAGGGCTTCTACATATATTTCTCAAAAACATACCTCAATCCATAACATGCAATAGTACGTTAAGTAGTGAGCCTGTGCTGGATTGGAGTCAGGAATTGACTCTTTATCATAAGAGCCTCACTTCCCCAGGTTACCTCAAAGACTTCAGGAGGCTAAACGTCCATGGTGTGACGTTGTCCTGGTGGTGACCGACACTGTTTGCCTGACTTCCCTGTCTGACTGGAAGAGCCTCCCTCCTCTTCCACTCTCCATAACCCTTAAACTAGTGTGGCATGTTGCCAAAATGCTTTCTCAAACAAAGTGGTGCTCTGGTCAAGGTCTAAGAATACTTTCCTAACCACACCCGTTCTTTATTTCTCCAGAGCTGTTCACATTTTTACTTTCTGGGTATAGAGAACACTGAGTGAAATGTGCTTTTTAGAAGTTCACATCTGTGTAAGAACAGACATGTAGAGAAAGAGAAAATATGTTGTTCCCTAATTTGGCAGCTATTGTTTCTACCTCTGTATTTGTATTCTTTGTGTCCCATTCCACAGTCCTCCCCCTCAAGCTTTTGTCTCTTCAGTCAGGGGAGTCTATTTAAGACAAAACCCAATTCACATAATTAAGCTATCTCAGCACCAATATCTCCTCTGGTGTATGTGTTATTATGCACCCAAGATGAAATACAACCCCAAAGTGATTGTACGTCCAATAATGGAGCTATTATCAAAGAGATACGAAACTCTCTGGAATAGTCTCAAAAGAACAAAAATTGAATTAGAAATTCAAATGTTCTTTGAACTGTGTTATAAAATAGTGGAACTGAATGAAATCTTTAGTGCTTGGCAGTCAACTCCCATAATTAGATAATTAAATCATGGGAAAACCCTAGACTATGGAGCATATCCTATTTGAGCATTTCATTTTCAGAAGTGATGGATTATGCTCAGGAATAGAAATTTGCTGCAGACTTCGTGAGGTGGCAGAATTAAACAGGGCAAAAAAAGCATGCCACGGAGGCAAAAGGGACTTCAGCAGATCAGGAAAACCATTCTGATGTGGCTCATGCAGTTCCTTGCTCTTCAATTTCACATGAATTTGCAAGCTAAACTGCACATTTGTCCATTTGTTGTGCTGTTAGAGTTTGTGTGGTGCTGTAATACTGGCAGCTGTGCCACTGGTATTATAAATCCCAGCAGGGTCAACTGCAGTGGGCAGGTTTCAACAGAGCTTCCAAACTAAGAAGAAAGACCTGACAATGTACTTCCAGATATTAACTAATTAAAACTGTGGATCACAACAGAATGTTGCCCGACTCATTTGTGATCAAATACTTTAAGAGGAAGTCATGTTTAGGGAAGTTCAGGGCCAGTGAGCTTGAGGGAGACCTTTGCCAAGAGCTGCTGTGATGGACTCAGACGTCCGGTGTTCATGAGGGTGAAACAGGACTGGACAGCAATCCACTGGGGGTTACACAGAGTCTCCATGAGTTGAAGTTGTCTCAGGGACAACTGCTTATCACTATTGTTCAATCTAGAAGTACGATTCATAATCTTGGATTTTCATTAGAAGCAGCTGATGACCTAGCATTTCAATACCCCACCACCACTGCCAAAATATAATTGTACTGGTCTAGACTGGAAGCCAAGTGCTGGTGATTTCAGGGTGAACCAGCTTTGGGAATGCATGACTAGTGTTAGATATTGTAAATGCTCAGCTCATTGACATGCCACCTGGAAGTTTTGAGATCTGAGGCAGCTGTCACAAATCAAGAGCAGAAGCAAATGAGCCATTTCCTACTACGTAAGCAGAAGAGAAATATTCAATTTGAAATTCCAATTAAAGAAATATCCAATAGCCAGAGTCTTAAAGCTCTGACTTCCAACAAATAAACCTCATGTTGTGTGACCAATATAGATGCACTCTCTGAATAGTTACAATTAATGTAAGAGTAGTATAGGACATTTATGTTAATGTTCCCATCCCAAAGTAACAGTAGGTTCTACAATAAATTGGTACCAATGGAAAAAAGGACAGGTCCAAGCTTTGAAACTGAAAATCACCTCTTCAAAAAAAATGATGAGTGTCTCCATACCTGTTCAGTCTATATGCTGACCAAATTATTCGAGAGGCTGGACTCTGTGAAGAGGAGTGTGGCATCAGTATTGGAG